AGACTAATGCACCCCAAAAAAGCACAGTATACCTTTTTCTCCAATGTGCATGGAACAGGATGCTGAGGAAGGCTGGAAACTGCTTAAAGTGGGTCATAAAAACCAGAGCTTTGCCAGTATCCCTTTGAGCCAGAACTCTAACTGCAGTCACAGCATCTTCTCAATCTGAATCCTGCACCTTCAGGAGGAAGGGGATTTAGTTCCCAAGATGAGTGAGTTGTCACTATGATCTGGCTGGCTCTGAGTGCTGCAAAGATCAAAGGAGTGTGTGTGTGACTGTATACCAATGAAGGAATTTTTCTTTTACTTTTCAAAGAAAAGAGCGAGCTGGGAGGGAGGTGTGGGCAGGGAGAAAAGTGCAACAATGAATGAATGGAAATCCAAAATCTCTGTAAATGTTCATTAAAATTAATAATAAATAAAAAAAAGAGTGGCAAATGGCTGAAGGAAGCAGGACACATTAACACTTCTCTGCACACTCTAGGCTGTTGTATTACTGCCTTGCACCAGAAGCAGCAGAACCGGTCAAGGCAAAACTTGGTTCCCTTCCGTAACAGCAAGTTGATTCGAGTGTTTCAAGGCATTACAGGCCACTCGTTTATGATTGTCACTGTGAATCCCTGTGATGAAACCCAAATTTTCAGCTACTGCCAGCCAGCTTGTGCACGCCCCACCTGTGCCACTGGGATTACCATCCCTGCATTCATTTATCAAGGAACAGAGTCTTTGGTCATCTCCCAGCTAAGCTGGACCCAGGCCTTGATCACAACACAGAAAATGAAACTGACATCTCCATGTATGGTAAGGAATTCCTGCAGGTGGAAGCAGCCACGAATATACTGCCTTTTAAAGAAAAGCAGGAAAAGCAACAGCTGGAAATGCAGCTCTGTGATGAAATCTGCAATTCAGATGGTGGAGCAGATGCAACAACGAGAATAGTGGTTCAGTGAACATTCGGACACTCAGAAGGAACTACTGGAGGAAATGTATGAAGGGAAACTAAAGATTCTCAAGGAGTCACAAGTTTTTACCAAGAAGAACTTCAGGAGTGGGATGAAAAGACTGAAGAGCTAGAAGTCCTTTTAAAGGAAGCCAGACAGCAACCAGTGGTTCACGAAAAATCCGAGTCTGAACTGTCCTTATGGCGGTCACACGGCCAGCAGCTCCAGGAAGTTAAAGCTAAATTAGAGCAGTGCAAAGCAGAGCTAAAGTCCACGTCGGAAGAGCTGCAGAAGTATCAGAAAATGCCAGAACCATATTCACACTCACGTTTATCGCGGCTTTGTTCACAATAGCAAAGAGTTGGAAACAATCTAAGTGCCCATCAACAAACGAATGGACAGAGAAGCTCTGGTATATTCACACAATGGAATAGTACCCTGCTTTGAAAAACAATTCATGAAATACTATACAAAATGAGTGACCCTGGAGGACATTATGCTAAGTAAATATCTCAGTCACAAAAGGACAAATACTGCATAGTGCCACTGCTGTAAAACGGGACTGACATCAGGGTTGGGAGGAGACTGAGAAAGACAGGACAAATGATGTATCCTACATTGAAATAGATGAGGGAGAGAACTGTTTAAAAGGGATATATGATCAGGTATTTTTGTCATGACAAGAGTCCAGAAAAAAGGCTGCATAGTGGAGTGGACCTGAGGGGAGGGTGTGTATAACAATGAAAGAATTATTCTTTCACTTTTCAAAGAGTAGAGCAAACTGGGGGAGAGGGGTGAGCAGGGATAAAAGTGCCACAACGAATGAATGGAAATCCAAAGTCTCTGTAAACTTTCATTAGAATTAATAACAATAAAAAAAGAAAAAGGTAAAAAAAAAATCCCAAAATAAAAAAAAAAATTTAAAAAGTATCAAATCCAAATAAACAGTTTTTCATTGTTAAAAAAAAAAAAAAGGAAAGAAAAAAAGAAAATGTTAGAACTATCACCTTCAGCCAAGCCTTTCACCAATGGTGTGGTCAAGAAGTTAAAGAAAGGCCAGATTATAAGGGTGCTGCAGACAAAACTTCAGTAACTTGGTGAGTATCTCCAGTCAGCATAAAGAGCTGGAAAACTTCAAAAAGTCTTGACCACTTGTGATGACATCATCAAACAGGACCAGATGCTGGCTGAGCTGCAGAATAACATGATGCTTGTGAAACTAGACCTTTGGAAGAAGGCAGCTTGCATTGCTGAGCAGTATCACACTGTGCTAAAACTCCAACGCCAGGCCTCTTCTATCAAAAAGGGCCTTGGTGCCAATCAAGAAAACAAGCAACCAAACCATCAGCCCCCAGGAAAGAAACCATTCCTTCAAAACTTACTTCCTCAAACACCCACCTGCCAAAGCTCAACAGACTGCAGCCCTTATGCACAGATTCTGCACTCACTGTGCTCCCCTTTACTCGAATCTGGGTCTTTTGGCAAAAAGTACTAAAGCTGTGGGGAAGGAGAGGGAGTTGATACCCTGAGGAGGGTCTGCTGACTCTGCTTAATGCGTAATTTTCTTGAGCTTTACCATACCTCGAGATTTCTCCAGAATACAGTATTCACGTACTAGTATTCCTTCCCCCCATTTTGTATGTTGTATTATGAAATCTTGTTTTTCACTTATGGTTTCTGTGCATGTATTTAATAACATATATTAATAAAGATATTAACATTTTTTAAAAAGCAAAACAAAGCAAAAGCTTTCACTTAAGAACACCTGCAGTCTTCTTTCTTGGTTGTCTGTATTTAGAACTTAGTAGAAAACAGGTGTTATTATTTGGTCTTAGGTCAAATGAAGTTGTTTAGAAATGGGAAGTATATCAAAGCCCAGATAAGTCTCTGTGTTGTTTTTGCAGTCATGAAATATATATACTGGGCAGTATTTTGCTCTTCCACATCGAGTTGCTAAGAGTTGGAACTGACTAAACAGCACTTAGCAATAACAGCAGGACAATAACAATAAAACACAGAGAGAGAGACACACTCTCAACAATCCGCTATTACCACCATGTCTACACACACATACCCCCCCCCCACATGTACAATTTTAGCACAACAATTTTACACGTTTCTTAAAAATGAAACCATTCATTTAGGAAGACCCAGGAGGATACCTAGGATTTGACATCATGGTTTTGAAAAACAAATTGCTACACAGAATCATTTTAAAATAATATTTGAATGTATGTGACAAAAGCAATTTCTGAACAGGAGCAACTCACTAAATAAGTACACAGCTTTTCCAAGGTTATAATTTTCAAGAAGACAACATACAGATTTCTGACACATGCTATCTAAAATACTATTTCATACTTAGATCTTAGTGACCTTCTTTTCCATACAATAAATCACAGCACTTAGGAACGGGTGTGTATGTGTCTTCCTCATTAGAAAATCACTAATCTTTTGTAGGCAGTAATTATGATTTGCTACACTAACACCTCCTGGACCCCAGCAAAACAAGCAATACCGTTTAAATTCCCAGTATCTACTCAGTGACTTCAAGGTTGTTTTAAATAGTCTAGGAATGGTGAACAAAACAGGTATCTAAAAATAGCAAAGAGCAGTATCGTTTACTGTGGATACTGTGGATTTAAGATGTGTAATAATAAAAATCATGGTGTTACTAAGATGCTGTCTGAAAAGCTAAGTCAAACGGAGGCTTTTCAAAAATTCACCTGAGCCAAATGTAAAAGGATTGTTTTTTCAAGTTTTAACCAATTTAAAAAATAGGGGGAAAGGATCAATTACTTTATGATGACTGCTCCCTCTAGTGGCTTGTTTCCCACTTGAAAAAAAAAATTAGACACTGACCATTCTCATTTCTGAAAGAACACTCTGTCCAGCTTGTCTGTCCTCTTCTTATCATTTTATGCCCCCCACCCCTCCTCCAGCCTTACCAGCTGCTGTCTCATGCCACCCCGTGTGTGCCAGGACAGAATGTACTCCAGTGTTAACAGTGGTTGATGCTTCCCATTGGATAGCCAGGCCTTCCTTCTGAGGCACTTGTGGGTAGATTCAAACCTCCAGCTTTTCAATTAGCAGCTTAACCATTGGTGCTACTCGGACACCCCCACTCTCTATGTATACAGTTTGAGAACGATTTAAGACATAAACATGGGATAACTCTGGATTAAATAGCTCCATTAAGCTTTGTACATGGGAGGCCGAACAGCAGCAAGCTTGGGTGCATCCTCCAGCCACACTCCTTGCCCGATCACATCCTCAGGGATGCTTTCCCCTGCAGAGACCTGGTGGCCAGGTCGGCTCTCTCTCGCAGCAGGCTGGCTTCCTCAGCACTGCTATGGGCCTGCACATTCTTCAGTAAGAAGTGGCTAATAAAAAGCTTTAAGCCTTCTCGTAACATCCCCAGCTTTGGGTTGTCAGATACTCTGAAAAGGAATAGTACAAACATATATTACTGACAAATTAGTTTCTCATATTTCAATTCCAGTCATCTTGAATAGTCAGATAGAACCCATCTCCTTTTAAAAACTGAATTTTCAAAACAAAACAGAAAACTCTACTGCTCTAAGTTGGTTCTGTTTCAAGGTAACTTTCCATTTCGTTTCTTAAGCTATGAACCTGTATGTAGAGGAGGAGATTCCTCATGTTTCCGTCAGAGTGGATGGGAGACTGTGAACCTGTAGAGGAGAAGACTCTTCACTCTTCCCTACAGGGTGGACGGTAGACTGAACTACCAGCCTTCTGGTTAGCAGCATAAAACACAACATATCATGCCATTCTTTCTTGCACATTCTATTTGTAACCAATTATGGTTAATTGTGTATTAGGGAAGTTTTACAGTCCTCAGAGCTAATGTATATTATTATGCATATTAATCTCAATTTAAAATGGCAAGTGAAAATAGAGATTAATTTAGAAAGTATGTAACCACCTAGTTTTTAGAATTCAACATAAATGAAAGAACAGTGCTCAGGCCTTTCTTTCATAGGGTCGCTATGAGTCGTCTACAACTTGACAGCACCGAACAACCACAATAACATCTCCACATATCTTATCAGTGAGGCACATACCTTGTAAAAATTAAACCCAGGTCTTCAACTTCAGTTTCCATTAACAACATAGACAACACTTTCCGTAAAAAGTGGACTCTAGGTTTGTCCAATTCACTGAATTCAACTACCTAGTAGAGTTAGGATACAGAGAAAAAGGCAGTTACTTTGTCAACTTTCCTAATGATTTCTAGGTTATCGTCAATTAAAGAGTTAAAAAAATTAAACTTCTTCCCACCCCTCAAATAAAGAGGTTATTAAAAAAAATAAACAGTTGTTTGGCAAGGATATGGAGCTATGAGAACACATACTTAATTCTATTATTATTCTATTTTATTAGAGCGTAAAGTGCTAATAACCACTTTAGAGAGAAACTTTTAAAGTAATCTTAAGCAGTTTAACTTTATTACTGAAGCATATTATTAACTCTTAAACACTATTTTATAAATAAAAGATATGTCTACATTTATAAATCCCTTAGGAAGAAAATCTTAAAAACAATCTATTCATTTAGCTGCAAGATAAATAAATATATAAACTACAGTGTAGTTATGTAGCAGAACACTATACAGCAATTATAAAAGGAAAGCAAAGAATGACGTATCTCAGCTGTCCTAACACAAAGGCCTTACCAGCTCACCTGAAATTCAATCTACTATGTCTAGGTTTCTCTGTTCAAGTATAAAAAAATATCAGTGGTGTTTTGTTTGTTTGTTTGTTTGTTTTAATTGGCTCTCGGGGTGGTATGAAAGTTCTGAAATAAGATGGAGTGGGAGGAAGGGCAAGTCTCCTACTGACTTAAAGTAGATCTGTAACTGTCCTAAATTTAGCCCAGAAATTATACTGAATGTTAATGTACCTATTTTCTATGGTGGCTATAATAAAAATACTTTTATAGGTATAAGCAGATTAGAAGGAAATGTAAGTTTTAGGAAAAATACACATAGGCATTCACAATATTATTTTCACTGTTTTATAAAATTCCATCCATTATACAAACCTTTAAAATAGAAAGTGGAAGTGATTTTGTCTTTAACAAGTGGGCCACAAGATGAAACAAATTAGAGAAATTAGTAGCTGGCAAATTTTCTAAATCCCGAAATTTGTCCCATATGCTGAATTGGAAAGTCATCTAAGAGAATGGAAAAGAAAAAAGTTGAAAATGCAACAAATAATTAGATTATATGACTAATAATATAATCTAAAGGAATTAAAAATTTATGATGTAATGATCGTTCATAGTTCTTCCCTCACAGAATTGCAGATACTAAAGATAATGCTTTAAAGGCAATCATGGGTAATACATTAGAACTGAATGGTGCAGTCCATAACTAGAAGTCAAACTCAATTTAACAGCAGTCCATTGTTTTAAATTGAGATTTTAATGAAAGTTTACAGAAAAACCTGGATTTCTATTCATCCATTGTTACACTTTCCTCCCTACACCTCCCCAGTTCACTTTTCTCTTTAAAAAGATTCTTTCACTTTTGCACAATTTCCTCCCTCGAGCCCCTGCACACCAGTCCACTTTTAGTGAAGTTGCATAGTTGCACCTCTTATTATGAATTTCTGTAATGCAAATTAATACGTAGTCATGTATTTCTTTTTAGATAGTTCTTTCCCTCACCTGTTTCAATGCAGTGTACATTATTTATCCCCTCTTTTCTTAGTTTTCCCAGTAACCCTCATGTCAGTCCTGTTTTATAACAGTGGCATTATGCAGTATTTGTCTTTTTGTGACAGATATTTCACTCAGCCTAATGTCCCCCAGGGGCACCCATTTTGTATATTTTATGAGTTCCTTGTTTTTCAATGCTGCATAGTATTCCATTGTATGAATATACCACAGCTTCTCTCTCCATTCATTTGTTGATGGGCACTTGGGTTGCTTCCATCTCTTTGCTATTGTGAGCAACGAAACAATAAACATGGGTGTGCATATGTCTATTTGAGTGGCAGCTCTGGTTTCTTAGGGAACAGCAGTCATTTTTGACACACCTGCAGTCCCATCACTTCCTGCTGACTGTATCTAGTGGCTATTCTGGCAGGGGAGCTCCAGCAGCATATTCTGTACGGAGTTGTGTTGTAAACTCTAAAGAGGTGTCTCTCTTGGTGTTTGAATCTGCCAGTGGCTCCGTGGGATTCGCAGCCTTCTGAAAACTCACTAGAGGATTGGCTTTGAGTCAGTTTGGACTAGACAGCAATGACTATCCCACTTCCACTATCCCAGTGGAAGACAGAATCATTGGAACCAAGTGCCTCTGCCCACAGGATCCAGGGTTCTGGACTAGGGTGGATGCTAGAATCAGGAAACTATTTTTTCTGTGGAGTTAGCCAGGCAGTGTTTAGAAAAACAATAAATCACATATATTTAACTAGTGATTCTTGCACTAAGCAACTTACCTGGAATCTCCTTTCATATTCACAGAACTTGCTAGCTAAAAATGCATAAAAAGGATTGTATGTTTTCTCTTGAAGGCAGCAGTCCATTAGAACATGAACTATTTCTCTCTCTTGCTGATCCTTAAGTCCAAGCCTATAAAACAGGAATAGCAACAATTTAAACCTCCCCCAATCCCAAAACAAAACTCCCTCCCCATCCTTCAATTCCTCAGTTTTATTAGTTTTAAGACAGAAGTCTTGAGACACACTCTTGGTTTGGCATTGTTTGTTTAAATGAGAACTAGCTGGAAAAGGACACACAGTGACCTCGGAGAACAGATCAAACTGCTCACAAAGCTGTAACACTTTTCAAGGCAGACAGTATCGGGGAGGGTTTAGGAAGACAGAAGAAGCTGGGTATCAAGGACCATGAGTTACAGGCCAGATCTGTCCCTAGCTTCTGAGTCTCAATGTGTCTAACAATGTGACAACACTGGGGTTGGACAACATGATTTTTCAGTTCTATTCTAGCTACAAGTCTAGAATTAATGTCAGATTGACAAGACAATGGTTTTAACACATAACTGTCCTTAAAGTCGGGTTCTTGTTATGGTGATTACTGATACTCCTATATATATTAAAAAAATAAGGTATTAACTTGCAAACAATAAAATTAATTCTTTTTAGTACATAGTTCTGGTGTAAAGCACTAAACCATGTCTAAGCCCACCAGAAATAGCTGAGTATGAAGCCGACTCTAAAGACCTATGGCAAGCCAAAAAGCCAGTTTAAAAAAAATTCTCCATTTGTGTTGGCTTCTGAGTTTTACCCACCTTGCTAGCAAGGTTTCTTTATTATGCACATATAGTAGTAGCTCGTAAGAACAAAGGAACATAAGTTTATGTTCTGCATCATTTACACTTTTATCACCACTATCCTGGACTAAACAAATTCACCTGATTCTCAGCTTCCCCACTGGAACAACTACTGTGTATTTCCTGTGTCTGAGAATAACCTGTGTATCTGATAAGATGTAGACACAGGTTTGCTTCTCATTTGAAAGGGTCTCTCTTACCTAAGAAACCAGGAAGAAAAGTGAGTGAGCATCCCCTTTTATCACCTTGATGTAATAAATGAACTTCAATATTGTTAACTTGTAGAAATCTTTCTATAAAATCTTCTGTAATCAGAAGTCTTGGTAAACCTGAGTCCCACTCATCTTTTTCCATGTATACAGGATGCCAGAATAAAATACCTTTCTTAACTTTTTGTTACTGCAGTGGTTGCTAGTTCCCTTCAAACAAAAATTTTATGAGTTTTAAAAACATTATCACCTATAATCACCACCAAAATCTACTGAAAGTTCTGTTACTTTAAAAAAATCTGTGCCTTTTGCAGTCAGCCCTTCCCGTCCCAGGCAACCAATGACCTGTTTTCTGTCTCCACAGCTAGTCTCAGAAGATGACCATATGAACAGGATCATCAACTGTACAGTCATCCAAGCCTGCCTTCTTTTCCTTGGCATAATCGGAAAGTCCCCGGCCTACTGCAGGTAGAAGTAGTTTCCCCCCTTGGAAGATGAGTATTCCACTGATTGGACAGAGTTTGTTTGTTTTGAGGGCACACATTTTGTTTATCAGATTCCCATTTGAGGGATGCTTTCTCTGAGTATGAATGACTTGCTTTTGAAGTAAATCTAAGGTTAAAGAAACACTAGTTATTGTCAATATTATATAAAAGAAAAATGACTGGAATGATAAATTACTTGAGTGAAGGTTATGTAGGCAACTGAAATAACCATTTTGGTTGCATTTATAGAAATTCATGCTGATTAAAAGTTCAAATTAATAGTAATATAGTTCTGATGAATAAAAATGAGGGGGGGGAAATAATTGTTTAACAAATATAGTTTGGTAGACAAAAGTTTTCTAAACCTGAAGTCAACAAGGGGAGAAATAACAACAGACGTCCTTTATGTAAATCCTCTTAGGATTTGTGTTTTCTAGTGAGAATTCTTCCCTTTTAGAAACAAAGTATAATCAGCGAACAGCTAGGTGGTCACAGAGAAGGAAAACAGTCTGAGTTTTTCACTTAACAGTGTAAGAAATTACACTAGTGTAAAAAAAAAATTCATCTACAAAGTAAATCTCTAATTGCCAGAATCCTAAACTAACTTATTTGTGTATTTGGTGTTAAGTTCTCTGCAGCCATTTAAAATTTTTTATTATAACTATTTACAAAAACTATACCAAAATGTTTGTTTAGAAGGAAAGGGAAATGTAACGTATGTTAAGATTTAGGTATTTTCAAGCAATGCATGACAACCAACAGTAACAAAGAACTTTATCAACAGGTTATTTAACACTTCTGAGCAAAATCTTCAAGTCCTATGTATCATAAATGTTCTAATTAGGAATGAGCAGGAGGGGCATCCACTTCCTCCAACAACATGCCTCCAGAAACTCTATAAACTAATAAATGTCGATAGCTATAGAGGGGCTTCATGCCTTTGTTCATAGGGTTGCTATGAGTTGTGCTTGACTCAAAAGCAATCAACAACAACAGTGATAAGTTAAGGGGCTTTGGTGGTGCAGTCTAACCCAAACTCATGGGATTTTCTGTGTTGGAAACCCAATGAGGTTTGAAACCCAATAGGGTATGAGATTTTTGTTGTTGTGTACCGTCAAGTTGGATCTGACTGGCACAGGTGGAGATTGTCTCTCCTTCTCTAGCACAGCATCTGGTCGATTTGAATCATGTGCCTTTGGGATTGCAGCGCAGCGTCTTGCTACTAGGCCACCAGAGCTCCCTTAGAGTATAAGGAGTTTATCAGAAGAAATAAGATTATGAACCAACAGGATGCATGGGCTTAAACAGTATAAGATGTGAGGGTACGAGGAAAGCCCACAGTTGCAACTGACATTTATTTCATCATCCAAAATTTTAAAAAGCAAACTTATTTTTTTTACATCTAATTAAGTGGCAGGCTAAAATATTCAGACTAAAATGTGCTTACTTTAGAAGCTTCTCAAATGCATCCAAGAAGTCTTCACTGGTCATTATTGTACAGAATATGTTTCTCCGGATGTCGGTGTTCATTCTCTGCTTGCGGGCAAGGTCTAATATCTTTGAACTAACCTGAGGAGAGGACCATTAAAGCACAGATCTTAATACACACATTTCAGTAAAAAGCCTTTGTTTCTTAAAAAATACTGTCCCATACTCTGGTTTGTGTAGTTCCTAAAGTTGATTTTCTTAAAAAAATCACTTGAATAATTTTTGTGCAGCTTGATTTGACAGAATTGTACACTAACACTCAATCTTTATTTCTGGGCAACACCTTACAGAGGAAAAACAGCACGAGACAAAGAAAGCTACCAGCTAAAAAAAAAAACAACAAACCAAAACAAGATTTAGGAATTCTTTCTCAACAGCTATTATCTAAGTCAGTTACAAGCAATAATGAAGTAAAATATAACTAGGTGGAGAGAGTCAGAAGAACTTAAAGAAATCATGACAGTCTGTAATCTGATATTATGGATGGGATCTTTGGGGGAAAAAAAGGACATCAGGTGACAAGCAAGGGAATATGAAGTATGAAGTTTAATTAATAAGATAACAAAGAAAGGCAAATTAATTTAACAATCTGAAATTTAGGGCAAATGGAACAAAATCTCATTTTCTGGAAAACAGTACGATCCTGTATGTTCCCGTTATTCAATTAATGATAATATTTTGGTTTTAAAATGAACAACAGAAATATACTTCAGAATAATAGCAATTTCTGTCAGATCCTTAAACACATATATCTGTAAATTTCAATAATATTTCCTAAATAATAAAGTAGCTACACTAGTTAAAACAGTGCCTAGCAAACAGGCGGGACAAAGAAGTTGTAACATCAGCAATCACCGTACCGTCCCTCCATGTGGCTTCGGCTGGACCTTATCACTGCTGTCAATCATTGGGGCTCCACTCCATGATGAGCCTATAATCCACCAGCGTCCAACCTGCTCAGCGTTCAAAACACTCTCCCAGGAAACTCGAAGCTGAGTTTCTGCACCTGAGCCAATGTTTCGCACCTGGTTACAAAAGAAGAAAGAAGAAAAGGATCTAGCAGAAAGGTTTGTAATGTATTCCTTTTTTGTACTACCATTTTGCTAAGCTATTCTGTTGGGTTTTTGGTTTATTTTTTTTAAATAATAGTATTTTTTGGTACATGATTCTTTCTAAGAAATAAATCACTGGCAATTATGACAATTAAATCTATAATTATACCAACAGTAGAGGTGAACTGATGAGGTTGTAGGATCTGTTATAACACACATGGTCTTCCCACTTCCACACAGTGCTTTCTTTGGAAAGCTGTTACACTAAGGAGAGCTGCTGCAGATGTAGGACAACATAATGTGAGTTCTGCCAGGCTGGCAGGTGCGAACCTTGCTGTGTCCTAGTCAATGACAAGTTAAAGACTAAGGTCTGAAAGACTTAACTGAATAGTGAAATCACTGTGCCTAAACAGCAATTACACATCAGAAACATGATTTTGATTTGCATTTAAGGCAGGACTCTGATACTATTATTAATTAAAAAGCAAAATACTCGACAAAACAAAAACCCCGATTCGATGATTCTACTATGTAACCACAGTGCAGGAGAGGGGGGAGATCCTGCATGAGATGGATTGATACAGTAACCGGGGCAATGGGGGTTGTGGTGTCAGAATTAGGGAGACTGGCTCAGGATAGGGAAGAATTCAGAGCTGCTGTACATAGGGTAGCTATAAGTCACAGGCGACTCAATGGCTCTTAACAACAGTAACACATTATGACAGATTTGGAAGTAGGAGTGGCAACCACTTCCTAAACCACATGCCTCCAGAAACTCTATGAACTTTGATAAATGAAGACACCTGTAGAGGGGCTTCAGGCCGTTTGTTCATAAGGTTGCTATGAGTTGTGCTCGACTTGGAGGCAGTCAACAGCAACTGTGTAGCCACAGTTCAGCATCACTGGGTTACTGTATAGGATGATTTAATTTATAGGAATTCTTCCCAACACAAATAATACATCTCATACAAAGAGCATGGAAACTATGCAAAATGTTTCAAAATAAGAGACAGAAAAGTTTCTATTTGGTATCTTGGGAACTCTTATTTAATAGCCCCCAGGAGACACTAATTTTTAGATCCTAGGGGGTTTGACCTGGATTTCAGGTTTTTGTGGACATGGTAGTACAAAACAAATCAGAATTAACTATAAGTTATTTACCAAAGTTCTTTGTAACTTCTTCAGTTTTTCGACAGGCTCAGGATCATAGCCTGGAATTTTACGCATGTCATTATTCTTCAGCGCCAACATAGTCTCTAGCATGAATCGAACCTTAGGGGAAAAAAATTAGAAAAACCAATGATTTCAAATATCATAAACAATTTATTACTCAAGCTGCCAAGAAATACCACACTATACACATATGGTCATCATTTTATAATATTCAAATTAGATGTGGTCTTTAGGTAATCATGTTGCTGTTTGCCACTGAATTGACTCATAGCAACCCTACCAGATAGAGTTGCACTACCCAGTAGCATTTCCTTGGCAGTAATCTTTATTCAGGAAAAGAGTGCTTCAGAGATGCATCCTGTCTCCATACCTTTTCAATCTTATGCTGAACAGATCATTCGGGAAGCAGGGCTTTATGAGGAGGAATGTGGCATCAAGATTGGAGGAAGAAAACTCATCAACAATCTATGTTAAGCAGATGACAAAATCTTACTTGCTGAAACTGAGGAGGACCTGAAGTGCTTGCTGCAGAGGGTCAAGGACTATAGTCCTCAATATGGATTGAAGCTCAGCATCAGGTAGATAAAGATTCTCACCACTCAGCCAATTGGGAGCACCATGATGTATGGAGAAGAGATTGAGGTTGTTAATAAATACAGCTTGCTTGGCTCCACAATCAACACTACTGGCATCAGCAATAAGGAAATTAAAAGATGAATTGCACTGGGAAAATCTGCTGTGAGAGACCTCTACTGAGTACCGAAGAGAAATGATGTCAGTCTAGAGACTAAGTTGTGCATAATCCAGGCCATGGTCCTTGCAGTTACTTGCTATGCATCAGAGAGATCGACAATGATTAAGGATGAAAGAATTGATGTCTTCATATTGGGTGCTGGAGAAGAGTCTTGAGCATACTCTGGACTGCCAAAAAACACAAATAGTTCTGTCCTGGAGAGGGTGAAACCAAGTTTCTCCTTGGAGGCTAGGATTTTGAAGCCCCGTCTCACATACTTTGGGTATGTGGCTGGAGAGACTGGTTCTTGGAGAAGGACATAATGCGCAGAAAGGTGGAGGGACAGTGCAGGAGAGGAAGACCCTGGATGAGATGGATTGATACAATAAGTGGGCAACTGGAGTTGGTGTGTTGGAATCAATTAGACTGGCTCAGCACAGGCCAGGCTTCAGAGCTCCTGTACATAGGGTTGCTAGGGGTCATAACAACAACCATCTTTATTCACCAGTCAGTTCATCATGCTGTGGTAGACTGAGGCTGGAAGCTATGCTATCAGTAATTCAAACACCAGGAAGGTCACCAATGAGAAAGACTTCAGTGCTGCCTCCAGACTAAGATCAGGAAGAAAAGCCTGACAATATACTTCTTTGAAAAAAGAAGTTCCAGTGAAAACCTTATGAGTTATCAGGGAAACATGGATCTAAACCCAACACCAGATAATGAGCCCCTCAGGTTGGAAGGCACTCAAACTACAGGTAGGAAGAGCGGTCTCTTCAAATCAAGAATGAAGGAAGCATCAAATGAAGATGGAAGGAATACAGTCACAGGACCAAAAAGCTGATGTTCAACCATTTCAGTAGGTACCACATATGACAAACAACTGATGTTACAATTAATTTACCACTTAGGTCTTCATAAAAAGCACACTATTTGACAGGTTTTAGTACATATATTCAGAAGATTGTGCTACTACTAAAATTTGTTTTAGAGTATTTTCATCATTTCCAAAGCAATTCTCTACTCATTAACAGCCAGATCCTTTTCTCCTCCAACTCCTCTAGGCTTGCTGCTTAGTGCTGTTGGGCTGACTGGACTCACAGGCACTCTATGTGATGGAGCAGAAGTGCCCTAAAGGGCTTTTCTGGCTGTCCTCTTTCCAGGAGTAGACCAACAGGGCTTTCTCCTACTGTACAGGTCCAAACCACTACTTTCTGTTGCTCCTGTAGTTGTGTTTATTTGTTTAAGTGTAACTTTATTTTCTCATCTTAAAACCAGTCCCTTTTATTCTACTATCTCATTCCTCCATTAAAGTTTTAGCTTTATATTGCTAGACCTCTCCGCATTCAATACAAAGGATAAATTCTTACAGCAACACTCTTGACTTCTGCATATTTCCTGTTTGCTTTTATTTTCATTTGCTAGTTCTTCCTTCTTTAAAAAAAGTTAAAATACTGGAGTGCCTTAATTTTAAGGGTCCCTTAATCTTTTGACTAAGCAACGGGATCCAGGGCTTCATGATCATTTAGATGATGACTCTCAAGTCTCTTAGCCCACCCTTCTCTTCTTGATATCTAACCAAAGTACTTTATTGTCAATATCTTAAAAAACTGGGCTGTCTTTTCTTTCCACCTACTTATCCTCTAGCATCTGGATCTACACAGATGGCACCTGAGAGTCAGGCTGGAAACTTGGGAGTAATCCTTAACTTGGCCATGTCTGCCATATTCAGTCTACGTTAAGTTGGGTCAATTCTAAGTCAGAAACTGTATCTACCAGTATGCCAATGGGAGTTACCAATTTCTCCAGAGACTCCTGTGATATTATGTCTCAATCCTGACCACTTCCAACATTTTTTCTGCAATGAAACCCAAATGGGTGTGTGTGGGGGGGTGTAAATCTGAATGAAATTTACAAAGAAAGTTGGATTTCTAGTCAACCATTCTATCCATTTATACACATTTATTGTATAACATTACTTACAAGATTTGAAATGCCTCTTTAGAGGAGACTGCTGCCTACTTCTCCGGCCTTATTTGTTCCCCCTATGCCCTTTTATCATAATTTTCTTGGTTCCTTAAAAAAGGCAGTGCTATTTCATGCCTCATAAACACTGTAAGACTAAAATGAGGCTGAACTACTATCAACTCTCCTTTTAGAGAGGTGGAAACCTGGCCTGGCAGAGGTACATTCTGCCGCCCTCTTGTGCCAGGCCCAGAAGTCTGACTCAGTCCACAGGACACTGCCCCATACAATAGAGCCTTCCTCAGTAAGCATTTTAAGAATGGAAAAATAAAAAAAATCAATTGTTAAAGTCAGAAAATATTAGTAAAGAAATAAAGGTTCTTTCACATATTAAGATGAAGCAGAAAAGAACAGAAGCCATAGGAAATGAAACACAATATTTACCCTAAATACTTATGCTTAAGCTCTCAGCAGTTTGTGCATGTGTAGGCATTAGGAGGCAGGCCTAGTGCCGCAAGCATACCCGGGTCTGGTCCTGGAACCTGCTGTCTGCTCCGCTGGCTTTCTTCTGGGCTTCAGTGATCAGTTCCTTTAGTGACAAAGCATCATCTCTTCTCAGAGAAAAGCCCACATTTTTCAGCATTAACAGGATCAACTCAATATCTTTTTCTGTGAAACTTTCAACAAGTTTTTTCAAAATATCAAAGATGAGGAGAGACTGCACCACATGGAAGTTATATAAGTGGGCAAGAATGGTGAACAGGTTATCACATTCTTTCCCTTCACTTCCAGTTTTGTATACATCATCAAACTTCCTCACCACAGCTTCCAGAAAGTGAGCACCGACCTGAATGGAGAAAAGGGAAACACAAGGTCATTAAAACACAAGACAATTTTAGTAAGGCATTTGGACAGATCTGTTTTCCCACAACAGGTACATTTAATACTTTCTAAAAATGCTGAGAATTCTAAATAGTAAATGACATAAAGCCATTTATCATGGCACAATCTCTATTTGTAATATGTAAGCATACCCTCTTTTCTTTATAGTAAAAAGGCTGTGGTGTTTTTGGTTTTTTTTTTTTCAAGTCGCCAATTGCTCACTCTGCTTTCTTAGAAAAAGAAAACTGTTAACTTTTGCTTAAAATGTGCTTAAACTACCTAAAGGCATCAATCCTGACTATACAGATCAGAGTAGAATGGCCCCAGTTTCCAAGGCTAAAAGCTTCATGGAAGCAGTGTCTCATTGTTCTCTAGCTCAGCAGCTGGTGGATTTAAACCACTGACCTATGCGTTAGCAGCTCAGTGCTTAATCCACTACATCTATTTTCAATTCTCCTACTCTCAAATGTAATGCTAAGATTCTGGTTGTATAAGCAACATGCAACCATATGTACAAACACAAAGACATACAGACACCCCTGTACCTGGTGAAGTGCACATGTGCTGCTTTGCAGGAACCAACCCACAAATGAGCAGTTACACCTGAGAGAACAGTATTCGACCCAGGAACTACAAACTATTTTGATAAAGCCATGGGAAGTCACTAAGTTCCCCTGCCCCCAATCAAATGAATTTCTACTACAAATCTACTTTATAATATACTTTGGAATGAAAAAGGCCTGGCTTTGGTTTATCCACTTTCCCAGCCTATGTAGTCTGAGAAAATTATTGAACTTCTCTTTCTTTTTACTCTGGAAAAGTGGGATAATGAAATTTGAAATGTAGCTTAATATTTTTGTTACAGTGGTTATTATAACATCATTTTCTCTCAAATATCAGCTCAAGCCGAGATTAGAAGAATGCAGCAAGAACACAGTGGTGATAGAGGTGACCCAATGGCCTCAAGAAATGACTGTTAAAGATGGAGGAAAGGAACGGTCCCAAGAGTGACTGCGACAGAACTGGTAAGCTGAGGTGATACATATTGATACAAGAAACATTAAATGCCGACTCCCCAAGTTTTTTGTCAGGAAAATGGAGTAGGAAGAGTAGGTTAGTAGAAGGTGGTCAAAATCTATTTAAGACTTATTAAACTTGAACTGTGAGATGCTGGTTATGATTAACAATAGATGTATAAAGATAGTGGAAACTGTGATGAAGATGAAGTCAAGGAGAAAGGCTAGAGAATAATAGTAGAATATACCTTCATTGCTAGATGGTAAAATGTTCATATTAGAAATAACTAATGCTGCTAAGCTGTATGTTTAGGAACAGTCAAACATACAAACTTTTTGTTTATATATAGTTTACATTAATAAAGTTAAGACAAACAAAACAAAATATACATGCTAGAAGTCAGAGAAAGGAAATATACCAGTAGGAGAGAACAGAATATAGAGACCTATTTCTGATAAATTGTCTACATTTTTAGTTTTTAAAGAAATATAAATACATTCCCAATTCAAGTATCTTTATAAACAGAAAAATTAATAAACATACTCTCAATATGATTATAGTATCTTAAAATACAATTTAAAAAGAGAAATTAGAATTATGTGGACAAAAACAGGCATGAAAGATACTCAGGTGTTTATAATTACATAGAATTATTTAGTTACCTAAAAATTTATAAAATATATCCATTTGGTATCTTCAAAATAAAATACAATTTGGTGTAAGAAAATAAAATGTAATTTAGTACAGGAATACCACTGAGATACTCTGGGTCCAGTTTAAGACCTCTACTTAAGTAAATGCTGCAATAGAGTGAGTTACAAGAATCTCCTGGTTTCTCAGTGCACATACAAATCATGTTTACACTACAGTGTAGTCTATTAATTGGACAATGACATTATTTTTTTTCATAAATAATAATTTTTGTTATTATGAAGTCTGAATTTTTAAACAGGGTCTTGACCTGGTGGCTCATAGCCATCAGCTCATTCCACTTTAGCCTCTGTCTTATCTCTTGTAGCTTTTCCAGAGCTACCACCTTCACCACGAAGCTTCATGAGCTTTCCCAGTTCAAACATGGGCTTCTTCAGCATTTTTACTTTTCTAACAAATATATCATGGAGTGGACAAATAGATTGGAAAATCTTTTCTATGTCTTACCCAGTGCTGCCTGGAATAAATTTATTGATCACTCTTCAAGTCATTTGTCTGCACGTCTCAGGTCTAGATTTCTATCATTTTCTTCCAGATTTAGTGGACCTATTGGTGCTCAGCATAAGATATCTTCTGAATCAGATTGTTGTGGCTTTTTTTTTTAAACCAGCACAAAACAGATGAAGCAAATAACCATCAGTCTGCCATTTTTTGACCATGGACAACATTTTGTCATGAGTAAGATCCATGCCATGGAAGTTGGTGAGGCAGTTTCTGCCTTTAACATCCTCAGTAATTAGCTTGAATTTTCTAAATGCAACCTCATCATTTTGCAAATCAGCAAAGCTCACTTCAAAACCACGACATTTGAGTCCATCAGATGCAATTTTGGTTCGTTGAGTCCTTGTGACTAGTGTCTTTCATATATTTCTTATATTGAACGTACTTGGCACCTTTACATCATACCAATCTTTCTTAGAAAATGGATCAACCACTTTCTTCTTGGCTCCTTTTTTGCCACCTTCTCTAAGGCACTTGATCTTGCCGACCGCCATGGTGGTGCCCAGAGAGCGAAAAGGCGTAAAATGGCATTATTAAGAAAGAAGCTTGAATTTTTTTTTTTTTTTATTATTATGGCCAGGCGGGGTGGGCGAGCC